ATAAGAAGCTGCTGCTATCCAGGGACCTCAGGGACAGGGAAGGGATGATGCTATCAACACAAAAAGCCAAGGCTACCCTGTGGGAGCAGAACCTTGGGGTAGGAACCACCCAGAGGGAACTGGAAGCATAGCAGAGGTTGTGGGGTGGGAACCAGAGTGCAAAGGGGGTTTCTAGGCAGAAGCTGAAACAACAGAAGAGACACAGTCACAGCTTGACATGTCCAAAGCAGACAGGAAAGAAATGCCCAACACCCATCTTGCCAAGAACTCCCTTTGGCTGATCCTAACCAGAAAGGGAACCTGGGAAATCAAGACATGCCCTTGGAATGCAAAGCAAAAAAGGGCAGGGAATAGATCTAAGAGAAAACGGGCAAATAACTAACCTATACAAGAATGAGAAAAGGAAATGCAAACAACCAGCAAACAGGAAAATATGTTCCACTCCATTAGTAATCAGAGAAATGCAATTCTAAACCACAATGAGATACTATAATACACTACCACCACCAAAAATTTTAAAATGTCAAATGATGAAAATTTAGCAGTAGAAATTTAGGACATACCTGTGGGAGTACAGATTGGAGGGCGTATCGGCTTTGTCCAATAATTTGGCGCTGAACATACCCTACTCCATGAGTTCCACCTCTGGGAACATGTTCTTAGGAAACACTAGCAAACTATACTAGGAGGTGAGATACCCAAATGAAAACTACCCAGCTGGAAGCTAGGCAAATATCCATCAATACAAGAACAGATGAAGAAGTGTGTTTTATTCTTACAATGCCAATACTACATAAAAATGGATGAACATAGCTATATACTCTAACAGATGAATCATTTTGAGCAAGAAAGATGTGGCAAAAAATATTTAAATGATTCCATTTACATAAAATTCAAAAACATGCAGAATTATATGCACTGTTAAGGGATGAATCATATATGGGAAAGCTATAAAGAAATAAATTATAAATACTGGATTGTTGGAAAAGTAATGATCTATTTTTCTATGCAACAATGTGTCGTGATTTTTCCAGCAACCCAATAATTCAGAGGAGTGGTTACCTCTGTGTGAAAGAAAGGTGGATATGATCAGGAATAGGACCACAAGCATAGCTACTCTTTTTCTTAGATATAATGTATTTTAGAATTTACAAACATGAGTCTAGGGCCAGCTCCTTGGCCTGGTGGTTAAGGCAGCCAGACGCACATGGCCATTCACACAGTTGGAGTTGAGCAACACACAGGGCATGTGCGCATACAAACCCAAAATCCCAGAAGGAGGGATAGATGGAGGAAAAGAAATTGCAGTGTGATCATTCTCCCCGTGGAGTGCTTTCTTTTGCCTCTCTCTCTTTCTTGCTCTCCCGTGAGTATGCACTCACACTCTTTAACAACAAAAATAGTATACATGACTCCAAAAATCACCTTTTCCTCCAAATTATACTTGAGAGTAAAATATTATAACATTCTCATATATTCATTCAAGTTCTATAGTTAGATTTCCGTCATGGTATCTTCACTTAAGGCTATTAAGCGAAGAGGCTGAGTTATTTGGCCTCTCTGGGTTGCCATAGTTAGTTCCCATCTCTGTCAAGTGAGGATTATAGTAGTGCTGCTTCATAGAATGATTACAAGAGCATGCATGGGAAATGCTTGGCACCATGGCCCAGCACCCAGTGGGTGGCAGATGCCTGGTAGTCTGCTCACACCATTGCCTCAGCATGGAGTACCCTCCTCACCACTCTTCCTACTGAATCCTCACCCAAGAATGCCCAGTGCATGAAGACCTTCCCTACTATCTAATATCCACCCCCCTTTTCTTTAAGGTTTGTTTTGTTTTGTTTTGTTTTGTTTTGTTTTGTTTTGTTTTGCCATTGGGCACATACAATCTCTAGAGAAGACAAGAGAGAAAGTGAGAAATCTCCCTGCTCTAGTCTCCTCTCAAGATTTTGGGCACGCACGCACACACACACACACACACCAGGCATTATTTTCAAGCCAACAGTTCCAGGACTGTAGCCATGGTCAGCATGTGAGAATCTAGCACTTTAATGTTCATGTCACCTGCTGGCTGCTGTCCCCCTATTTTGAATGCCTCCACCTCCTGTTGTCTGCACCATTTGTGAGGCCTTTACTATATCTCTTTATTCATCCCAGCAAATCATGTGCCAGCTACTAGGGGCATAAAAGTGAATAAAGGAGAATAGTCACTGCTTTCATGGATCCTGCAGCCTGGACATTAAACAAAGGAGCAAGCACAAAATTATTTAATCTAGCTGTGCTAAGTGCTATCTGGGAAAAAAAAAAGTGGGCTTCCTTGAGAACCTGTCTCAGAGGAAGCTCATCTAGACTACAGGGTCAAGAAAGATTTCTTTAAGAAAGTGACATTCAAAGTGAGCCATGAAGGATACACTGCTTTCTATTGTCCCCACTGACAATAAATATTTGTTGAGGATCTATAACCTAGGCAGGGTTTCAGTGCATGTGTCCCTAGAGAAAAAATAGCAGCAGGAGGTTATACAAGTTAAATGCCAAGTGAACAGAATGTACACTATTATACAGTGTGGATGTTTGGAGGACAGGTACTCCCAAGGGCTAGGGCCTTGCATGGAAACCTTTTACATAAAATGTAGGATTTAAGTAGAAATTTGAAGGATGGAACTAAGACAAGGGATGAGGGAAAGAAGTAGCTGAATGCAAACATGCTGGCAGATAGGAAAAGGCAAGGCAGGGTCAGACAGGTTGCTGGAACCAGGGGACGGCGGGAGAAGGGAGTTAAAAGGTCAGATCACAGAGGGATTTGCCTTATCTCAGACGGAGTTTTCTTTTTGTATCATGGGTTTCTTTAAGACTCATGAAAGCCATAGGTCCCTCACATCAAAACAAATACATTTATAAAAATGCATACACTTTCAGGGGTTCAAAATCCCTCTGAATTCCCAATAAGGAATCTCTGCTGTAAGCAGATAACACAGAAATGATTTGAGTAGAACAGTAGAACAATGTGTTTAAGATTCATTTGCCACAGAGGTTAATATCTGTTGGCAAGGAGGCCATTGGAGAAATTTTGCAATATAATGCAAGCAGGAACTCACATGGCTCTAGGCTAAGGTGATGGCTCTAGGAACTGATTTCTTAATTAAGCTTAACCCTTATTCAGAGAACACTCAGGGATAGGGCTTGTGCTCAGTGTTGGGGACAGGACAACAAGACAAGACCACTGTCCCCCAAGGACCTCCAAGCTGGACAGGAACTGCAGTTCCAGATACAGAGGGGATCAGATTGGTGGCAGGTTCTCTTACTCAGAACCTTCCACTGTCCATGCCTTAGAGAGCAAAGTTAAAGTCTTCAATATCATACTCAAGGTCCTCCACAAAATAGCCACAACTCAACAAAAAAGCCACAACTCACCTTTCTGCTTAGCACCCCCCCCCACAACCATTTTCCTCACACACACACACACACACGCACATACACATTGCACGCTGTTGGGCAGCTACAATGAACTCTTGACTGTTTTGTGACCCCACTTTGTATTGTTCTATTACTGTTTTCTTCTTTCAGCTCTACCTGCTTGAACCCTTACGCATTTTTCAGGCCCAGTTGAAATAATGCATTCCTGGAAGGTCTTCTGAGTATCCCTGCTCACTCTGCCCTGAGTCGCTGTGTGTCCCTTGCTGCCCTCCAGGACTCAGTGTGAAAGGGCAAAGATACTGTCTTTTCACACTCCTATTTCATGAGGCGCCCAGTTCGTATGGTGGGGTTTACTGTATCTACCCAGCCCTGGGAGAGCACAGAGCCAGGGTAGGTGTGGAAGCCGTAGTGAGGCCTGCGCAGCTGGAATCAAGGACTGTAATCCAGACCACACATCTTCATGGAAACATTCAATCTTGGGGAGCAGAGATAAAAAGTATCCTAAGGGACCAGCAGTTAGCGTAATGGCTATGTCGCTGAACTCCCATATAGCTGACTGCCGTTGGAGTCCTGGACCTGGTGGCAAAAAATCACACAGGGTGTGGGTGCGTGCGTGCCCAAGATCACGAGAGGAGATTGGAGGAGAAGGGATTGCCGCATGGCCATCCCCTCTCGGGGGTGATTTCTCACTTTCTATTTCTCTGTCTTTCTCTTTCTTTCCGGCGACCGCATGCGCCCTATAGCAAAAACCTCTCCAAAAAAAACGTATCCTAAGTACTCATGGTATGCTCAGTAAACATGAGGCTTAGCAATATAAGATGGTCAAAGCCAGGTAATTCAAGTCATTAGGAAATTGGCCTATTTATAAAATAGTGGTGTCCATGGGAAGAGAGCAGTGAGACTGGCGATTTCTCTTTGGGGGCAGCTTTGCACGTTTCTACTGTATTATTACTATTGATAATAAGTTACTCCCAATAGAGCATACTTGCACAGGTCAAATGTTTATAAATTCTAAATCATCTTTGGAAGTACTACTGCAACGTCCCTCGGATAACTCTTGATTGAAACTTCTTTAACGAGTGCAGTCCAGCTGCAGTGTACCATTATCTCACCTGTGTTTGTCCTATCGAAACACCCGAGTCATTGCCAAGGACGACTGAATTCTTTGGTTTGGCTGCAGTGGCCATATGACGGTGAGTATTTCCCCCTTCTGGGGTGTGAGGGAGTGTGGGTGCTTTTCCAGCCAGGCTGTGGAATGAAGTAATCCCTGACTGCGGTGAACCAGGCAGACGGCAAGTTCCTAAACCAAGCGAACCTACCCAAGGGCGGTGCCAAGTCCTAGCAAGTGCCCCACCTCCCAACTATGCTGATGAAGAGAAGAGGGCCGGGACCCTATCCAGTGACCCTCGCAGCTTGCAGCCCCCTCGCGGGTCCCACCTCCGGCAGGTGTCCGAGCTCCCCCTCCCTTCATTTCCTCCACCCGCCCGCCCCGCCCCGGGCCGAGGAGTCGCACGTCTGATTGGCCGGGGTGGCGGAGGTGGAGCCTGGGCGCCCGCGGAGGCGCCCGCGGAGGCCCCCGCCAGGGCCTGGCTAGCAGTCTGGGCTCAGCAGGCGGGGAGGGTCCCGCGCGCGCCCGAGGGCCGGGTCGGACTGCTCGGGCCCGCTCAGGATGAGGACGTGCTGGGCCACCCCTTGCCGCGCGGCGGGGCTCCTCGTGCTGCTCCTCGGGTGCTTTGGGCTTGCGGAGCCCTCTGGCCACGCAGGTAACGGTGGGCGCGTCTCCCTGTCGGACGACTGGGGGCAACGACACGTCAGGTCTGCTGATTCTACCCCAGCACCACCACGACCACCCCACCCGCACCCCCGGCCATGCCTGTCGCCGCTGCTTCGCTCAGGGACCTGGACAACAGAACCAAGGGGCAGGTCTAGGGGAAGGGGCTCGGTTGCCCTCGGGGGTCCAGGAGGAGGGCGCGGGGAGGTGTGAGAGGGCAAAGCCTTGCAGGCGCTGAGGGGACTGGGGGTCCGACATAGAAGTGGCGCGATGAGTCTTTTCTGGACGGTTCCCTCGTCCCTTCCTCGTCGTCTCTTCTCTAAATTGATGCTTTTCTGGCGTTTGGGGCTCCCCATCTACCCCCATGTCCTATCCCGCCGGTTCTCGCTCCCTCCGTCTCTGGGTTATCTTGGCCACTCAATGTCAAGAAGTGCTTTACGCCCAGAGCCTGACTCCCCGACTTCCCTTCACCCAGGGTGCACATCAAAAAGGAAGTGAGGTGAAGCTATCTGCTCCCAGACTGGCCTGATCGGGAGTGCTTTGATGCCCTTCCCCACCACCTAGACCAGCGACCCCTTTTCCTTAACTGACTGATCAGCGCCAAACGCCTCCGCGCTCTGGGTCGCTTCCTTGGGGACCGCGCCCGGCGCTGTGGACGCGGGACCGGGAGCAGACGCCGGCGGGAACGCTCAGGGTAGTCCAGCCACCCTCTCCCCTGGCAGCGGCCCGGCTCTGCTTTTACTTTCTCTCCTGCCTTAGCAGAAGGTGTGCCCAGGACTTTGTTCCTCGTGTTCAGGCTGCAGCTGAGCGATCTATGGGCTGTCCCCACCCACCACCTCGAAATGTTATCTCGCTGGAAAAAGGAAGTAAAAGATGATCAAGGCAGTTCTAGAAAAACGTTCAATTGTTTTGTGGGTCTTATTTTCTTTGCAGCTAAGCTAAGTTGCCTTCTGGTTTAGACCTTCTACCCACAGTGATGGGAAGAGGTTTCTGAGGAGTGCAGTGACATCATTCTTATCTATATCAAGAACCTCTTCGTGGACATGGCTCGGATTCACACTTGATTCTTCTTTGACCATCTATCCTGGGAACTACCCAAAGAGCTGTTAATAATACAGTCCTTTATTGCTGTGAGATTTTTATTCTGCCTGCTCGCAGTCCAAGGAGAAAATTTTCACAATTATTCAATAATTGCAGTAAAAACGAACCTTCCTCACTAACCTCTTGGTTTCCTTCTACATCTGCTTTAAACCTATTTTATCTCTTCCTTAAAATTCAAAATGTCCTTAATTCTTGCCATCTCTACAAGTCCTGCCTTTTCTAAGCCAACCCAAAGCAAAGAGCCCTAGGTTTAATTATTCTGCCTGCTCTAGGTTCCCGGTACTTATTCCTTGTCCTGCATCCTGCCTCTCTCCTCTAGCCACTGTGGTCAGCTTTCTCTCACCATTGGACCAGACTGGCCTTAGTAGGGGAAGTACTGGAAGTTGGAGCCTCAGCCACTTGGGCCGCTTGTTTGGCAGCGTGTCAGCTTCACTGTGCTAGGGATGGTGTGCACCTCGTCACATGCACACAGCTAGCTTGTGCAGGTGGTCTTTGTCACCCAGATGCTGAAGGAGGGCTTCTATGTGGCTTCTATGTCCTTGAGGAGACGCCAAGTGATTAGTTTGCTTTTTTTGCCTCCTTGGAAAATGAGCAGCTTGAAGTAAGCCACTCCCAACCCATACCACTGGATCTGTGCTCAGTGACTTTCTGATTCCTGGTAGACTGCCATGAACCTGACTGTTCCTTCAGGATCTGTTTTTGAACTAGCAAACCTAGACTTCTGATTCTCTTTTAGCTCACCTGTACATGCTGCACACATGGTAGAGTCTACCAAAGGCTTAACAGTGTGAGCTATGGAAGTTCCCTGAAACTATAAATGCTGCCATCTTCATCTGCCTGCCTTCCTAAACCATTTCCTTCTCCATTTGAGATTATAAGACGTCGACAGCCAGTTTCTCTTTGGAATGTGAAAAGTTCTTTGATCTAGACTTGTAAGACAGGAGTTATTTAGTGGTCAGACAATAAGAAAACACCGAGAGAGATCATTTTCCTTTGATGGCTGTGGAAACACTAAAAATCCACTTTCAATTTATAATAATGCTACTTTGCCATTTTCTCTCAACACCAGTGGATATTTCTATAAAATGAAATATATAAAAAGTGCTGCTAGGAATGATGAAGCTTCTTTTCATCAACCACTACCTTTTAGAGTTGTCTCAATATTATACTAAGAGGTAAACATTCAAATTCCATTGAGGTCCATTGTAAAGTTATAAAGTAAACAATGTGCAATATAATGCTATCAGTAAATAATCTGTTTTATAACTTGCCCTATCATTGCCTTTTCACATGCAATAGATTAAAATAAATAACTGCTATAACAATTTTTTTCTAAATAAGGAATTATTTTCACACTTTCTCAAGTCCTTCTTCCCACCCTTTAACCTACCACCCCATAGAGTCACAAGGCTGAAGCAGAATAAAGAGTTCCTGCTGGGTTAGAGAAAAATAAGGGAAAAGACCAGGAGAGGATAAAACTCTCCATAGCTAATGAATTATGTATGAATGACTACACATACATTATATATGAAGGCTAAAAACAAGTTTCATTAAATCATATCAATAATTACCCATGTTAAGTAAGCACTGTAAATATCAAACATTGATATTGCAAATACTTGGTTCAAACATGGGTTTGCCTGATGGTAGTGTCTGCATTCAAAGATGCTGTGATTTGTTCAGAAGCTTAGCAACCCCTCTTTAACAAAGCTACTTCATGCTACTCCACACCTCTCCTGTAGTCTTTCAGAGTTCCTTTCAGGTTAAATCCACAGGTGTCCCAGAAGTAAAATGTGTATAAAGTGGAAAAGAATAATTTTTTTCTCTACCAGGAATATTTACAAAGCAGCATTGTCACCTAAGTGCACATACCCGATGCAATGAGGACATGAAATGCTACTGGTACTGGCACAAAAAAATGAAGTTGTGAACATCTGTTCAAAAACAATATAGAATGGACCTAACCTTTGCTGTGATCTTGATTTTCGCTATCTTATACTCCATTGTTTTCATCTTGTACTTGGGCATATAAAGACTCTGGGAGATTAGGTGACTTCCCCCTAGTTCTCTCAGCTAACCAAGGGCAGGAGAAGGTCTCCCTCCGAGGGGTCCTGACTCCTTATTCCACTGCTCTTTCCACTGTACTAAGAGCTATAACTAATCCACTGGATTCTGCAAAGACTGCTTACAAAATCTAGAATACTCCTAAGTGCAAAAGAAGGCAAAGCTGCTGCTTGCCCAAGTCTCCTGTTTGGTGACAAAGAGCACAGAGCAGAGTGCCCAGGAAAGTCATCATTGAGACAACAGCACAGGAGAGGGCAAGTTTCCAACAAGAGTGGTGGCCATGTTTCCTGCAAGAACAGACTTCTCTTTTCTGCCATAATTCCTGATACTCTAAACACGAGATTAATTTTGGAGAGAAAGAATAGTGGTAGGTCAGGGGTCTGAGTATTACCATGGAGTATGTGGGAGAAGAGCATTAAAGATAATGTGAGTGGTAATCTTAAAAGAGATTAGTTTTTTTATGTCTGTTGACTAGCCTCCAAACCTTGTCCATCACAGAGAGAATGGCAGTGGGATGTCAAAGAAGAAAGAGTGAGGGGTGGAAACTGCCATGGCAAACCTACCTTGCTGCAACCTTGTTTTTTTGTTTGTTTGTTTTGGTTTGGTTTTGGTTTTGTTTTGTTTTGTTTGAGAGGTTTTTTCACTATAGGGCGCGTGTGCTCGCCAGACAGAGAGAGAGAGACATAGAGACAGAAAGCAAGAAATCACCCCCCAGGGGGGATGGTCACGCCGCAATCCCTTCTCCTCCGTTCTCCTCTCGGGATCTTGGGCACGCACGCACACGCGCCCGGTGTGAGTTTTAAGCCACCGGGTCCAGGACACGAACGTGGTCGACTATGTGGGAGTCCAGCGACATAGCCATTACGCTAACTGCTGGTTCCCGGACCTTGTTTTAAAACTCTGGCTCAAAAACAGAAATAACTTAGAACTTTACAGGATTTTGTTGCTGTTGTTCCTATTTTTGCTGCACTGTTATTTAAAACAGCAAAAAAAAAAAAATTCCATCTCAAGTTAAAGCTACAGTCAGGCTTAATTTTATTGTTATTATTTACATGATAAAATTTCCCCTCAAGTCTCCACACCCCAGTATGAGAATTTTTAACTCTGAAGGCCTGTGAAGTATAACTAAAAAGGGCAGTTAGTGTTGATAAAGATGAATGATTGTGAAACTGACATCAAAATGAAAGTGTCTTTTGGGAACAAAAATTTTATAGGTCCTTCTTCTGAACTTTGGTTCATTGACAGTGATTTTTTTAAACTTGTCTAAAATATTTCAACTTTTCACCTCAACATGATGATTTGTACTATAACTTGATTTTTTTTTATTTTGTAAAATTATGATCAAGTTGTTCAGTTATAGTTTGTTATAATAGATGTGATTCTTGCTTCACAGATTCAGGAATGCGAGAAATAGTGCCTTGCTTTATTTTCAAAACATCACATTAAATTTGATTTTGCGGTCCTATTCCACCAGGCAGGCAGAACTTTAATTTCTGTCATTGGGATGTTCCTCAGATCACGTGCAGTGCCAGGGGAACATTCTGGGAGGTCATTCTTTTAGTTTTTGTCTCCTGCTGACTGCTTCTGAATTTACTAGCATCCAAACCCACTGGACTTTGAATCCAGTGGCTCAGGTAATTTCTAGAGCTCAGGGTTTGGCCTCCCCAGGTTATCTAATTAATGCTTCCAGTCTCTCCCCAGGTCCTGTCACCTTCCTGGAGGTGCTATGGTAGAGCTGGCCACTGGTGTTCTGCCCCTTCAGAACTCAGATCTTCATTTCTTCTCAGTTTTGTTTTACTTCTGCCCCTTCAGAAGTCTCCCTGTCTCCTCTAAGACATCTCAGTGAGGTCCACAAATCCACCTCTGGGGGAGATGGTCTTTAAGCAAATCTCCTTTTGCCTGGCCACGATAGCCTGGTTGTAGACACTGGAGCACAGACAGTTGAATATGTACTTGGATCAGGGGAAAGGAACAGAGAGTGAGAAAAAAAGCATGACTTTTCACAGAGGCAGAAAATGAATCCAGGCAGACTAGTCCCAGAGCCTGTGCTCTCACCCCACACTGGGCTGCCTCTCCAGCTACTGCGGTCCTACCTTACATAGTATGTTGCAGTTTATAACACCTGGGGGAGTGGGGGGGAAAACAGTCTGGTGGTTCCCTGACTCTCCTGAGCAAGCAGAGATCAAGACACAGTGACCAGGGACCAGCAGTTGGTGTAATGACTGTGTCACTGGACTCCCATGTAGGTGACCGCAGTTCGAGTCCCAGACCCGGTGGCTTAAACTCGCACTGGGCACATGTGCGTGCGTGCTCAAGATCCCAAGAGGAGAATGGAGGAAAAGGGATTGTGGTGTGGCCATCCCCACTGGGGGGTGATTTCTCATTTTCTGTCTCTCTGTCTCTCTCTGTCTTTCTGATGAACGCACACACCCTGTAGCAAAAACCTCTCCAAAAAAAGAAGACACAGTGACCACATAATTCAGAATCCTGAAATGTCTTCCTTCACTGTCTGTCTTGACCCAGGTAATGATCCATTCACCATCGTCAATGAAAACACCGGCAAGTGCATTAAGCCACTGTATGGCTGGATAGTGGCAGAAGATTGTGATGAAACTAAGGACATGTTATGGAAGTGGGTGTCCCAACATCGGCTCTTTCATTTGCAATCGCAGAAGTGCCTTGGCCTAGACATTACCAAGCCTGCGGAATCCTTAAGAATGTTCAGCTGTGACTCCAGTGCCATGCTGTGGTGGAAATGTGAGCACCACTCTCTGTACGGTGCTGCCCAGTACAGGCTGGCTCTGAAGGATGGACATGCCATAGCAACTACAAATACATCTGATGTCTGGAAGAAAGGAGGCTCAGAGGAAAGCCTTTGTGACCAGCCTTACCATGGTGAGTACTGGAGCAGGACTCTGACCCATTGACTGCTGTGCTTGTTAAATATGGCACTGCATATGCACAGCTGAGTGAAAACTAAGTCATACGCTGGTAAGGGCGGTAAGCAATCTCTTCAGTTCCAGGCCCTGTGAAGTTTCCTTGGGCTATAGTCTCACCATACACCTGTAAGGTCAGTGGTATGCATCCCCCACCTGCCTCCTTCACAGGTAAGGCCAGAACAGGTTAAGTGCCTTGTCAGAGGTCACACATGTTGTGATAGACTGGGGATTTGAAACTTGCCTGATATCTGAGCATATGACAGGACTTCAAAAAGTTTATGGAGGTTGGGAACCAGCAGTTAGCGTAATGGCTATGTCGCTGGATTCCCACGTAGTCGACCGTGGTTCGTGTCCCAGACCTGGTGACTTAAATCTCACGCCGGGTGCGTGTGCGTGCATGCCCAAGATCCCGAGAGGAGAATGGAGGAGAAGGGATTGCGGCGTGACCATCCCCCCTGGAGAGTGATTTCTTGCTTTCTCTCTCTCTGTCTGGTGAGCGCACGCGCCCTATAGCGAAAAACCTCTCAAAAAAAAGTTTATGGAGGTCAGCTAGGAGACAGAGTTGGTAGCAAACTGAACTGCAGTGCTAGGAGCCACGTGGCCCGCTGCAGGTTTGGATCCTCCAGGTCAGGCTGAAATCATGCCAGGCAGGCATGTACACAGATGCCCAAGATCCTGAGGAACTGGAGGGCCAGGGAAAGGGAATCATACAGTATGATGAGACTTGTTGAAGCTTTTCTCTCTCTCTCAGTCCTCTTTTCCTCTCCTGTGTGTGCACATGTGCTCTCCATTGTGAAGAAAACAAACTTTTTTACAAAGCACATGGAAAAATGCATATCATAAAAAAAAACTATGCATGGACATAAAAAATGTTTGCACCAAAATAAATGTGTACTTTAATTCTGGGACCAGCATTTGGTGTAATGGCTATGTCACTGGACTCCCATGTAGTTGACCGCGGTTCAAGCCCCGGACCCAGTGACTTAAACTCACACCAGGCGCATGTGCATGTGTGCCCAAGATCCCAAGAGGAGAATGGAAGAAAAGGGACTACAGAGTGGCCATCCTCCCTGGGGATGATTTCTCGCTTTCTGTCTCTCTGTCTTTCTGGCAAGTGCACACATCCTATAGCAAAAACCTCTCAAAAGAAAAAGAAAAAGAAAGAAAGAAAAAGTGTACTTTAATTCCATTTTCCCACAACTGTTTATACACTCTATGTAATTCCTATGATGACTGAACTCTAGAGGAAAGGAAATAGATTAACAGGAAATCCTTCCTACAGCATAAAAATCAAACAATCTTATAATGTCAGTCTTATTCTAAATTAAAAGAGAGAGAGAGAGAGCAAGAAAATGAAATGCACTCTTTTTTGCCTACAAATTTTGATATAATAAGAAAATTTTAAGTATATAAGTGTATTTATTTTCATTTTTGGAATGGCTTGCCCTACATTGATGTTTGTGTTCAGCAATTTAAGAATGGATTTTTGGACTGGACACATAGCATAACAGTTAAGCATCATGCATAGAAAGCCAGATTCCACACAGCTGACCAGTTTGAATTCAGGCCGTGGTAGCTTAAAAACCATGCCAGGCACATGTGGATGCATGCCCAAAATCCAGATGAGATAAGAAAGGTCCAGATGAGATAGAGAAAGGAAGGAAAAAGGAATGCAGCGTGACCATACCTCATTCTCTCTCTCTCTCTCTCTCTCTCTCTCTCTCTCTCTCTCTGACAAGTGTACATGCCCTCTGACAATTTTAAAAAGTGAATTTTTCTCAATTACATATTTTTTTAAAAGTACCTGGGACCAGCAGATGGTGTGGAGGTTAAGGCAGCTGGATTCCAAATGGCTGACTGCACAGATTCAAGTCCCAGACCTGGTGGCTTAAAAATCACACTGAGCACATGTGTGTGCATGCCCAGAATCCCAAGAGGAAATGGGGAAGAGATTGCACCATGACTATTTCCCCTGAAAGAAGCTTTCTCCTTTTCCCTGACTTTCTCTCTTCAGCAAGTGCATGCATCTTATAATAAGCTAAAAATAAACAAATAAATTAAAATGTGGGGGGAAATGTACATGATGTTGTCATTGGGGGAGCTGACTATGAACTGGATTGCAGTAGATTTACTGGTTTACAAGGAATGAGTAGGTTAATTTTTAAACCATTAAATGTAACTATCACCTAAACAACTCCTTTTTGTATTATATTGTTTTAAATTACATTAACTGTTGACATATATAGTTATCTAAGTCTTATTATATTACTCTTGTTTTTCTTTAAAAACTTACAATTGCTGAGGCTGCCAGGTGGCATGGTGGTTAAGGTGCTGGACTCCCACATAGCCAGCCAGGGTGTGAGTCCTATACCTAGCAGCTTGCTTTCTCACTTTCTCTTTCTCTCTGTCTCTGTCTCTGTCTCTCTCTCTCTCGCCAAATTAAGAAATAAAAATCATAAGTAAAATTAAACAATTCTTTTTTAAAAAGCTATTATTATTATTCCAATTATAATAGTGATCGGGAAAAATAATGAAAAGCTATTGTATGATGAAATGGGGATTTTAATGTCCCTGTATTGACTGGTATGCATGGTATTCCTTCTGGAAAAAGACGTGTACTACACTGTAAAGTTAAATGTGATTCAATGTAATATAAACATGATTATGATGATAATAAGTAAATATTTAAAAAGTGAAAAAAAACCCTTACAACTACTTTCTAAAAGTATTCCTCTTCTGCTAAAGCTCATTTAAGCTAAATTTGGCCTCAGGTAGGATAGCAGCTTCATTCCCATCCTTCCCGTTATCTGTACCAGGTTTTCTCCGTGGGGAAATCTCTGTTTCCTAGTAAAGATAGAGAAAAGCTCCTAAGAACTTCAGGTTCTACTTTTAAGGAGAAATATTACAGAATTACCAACAGGGTTTTTCCTTTCCTTCAGTCCCTGTCCTTTGAATAGTTGAACAAATCTGTTTCTGCTAGCCAGCTTCCTCCTGAACTAACAGTGGTTGCTTATATTTACAGCAATTGCATCCCACATAATGGCAAGTTTAAAGTGTGTGCTACAAAGCCTTCCCCTAACTTGGTAACTGCAAGGAAATATGGTATCAAACAAATGTCTTTCAAACTGAACTTAACTCATTGCATCATATTTGTTCAGGGTTCAGAAAGGATCTTTTTTTTTTTTTTTTTGACAAGGCTCTTTTGTCCTCCTGCCAGTTGTTTTGAAGGGCATAGTTGTCATCTGAAACCCACACAGTCCCCAAAGTCTTAATTTCCATATAACCGGCATGGTTTTTTTTTCCTATGTGTTTTTACTGATGCATTGATAATGTTCTTCGGAGAAGGGGATCCACGAACTTCACACAGCTACCAAAATGATCAGTGTCACAGAAAAGGTTAAAAACCCATGCAAGGCACCACCCAAGAGAATGAAACACTGCCACCAGCAGAGCCCATAGGCAGTGTTTCTTGACCTTTCCAATACAGCAAAGAAAAAGAAAGGTGTGTATAGTTTTGACGAGTGAAGGCATTCCTTGGGATTTAACTTGCTTAGAGTCCAAGTCTAAACCTGCCACTGCTCCTCTGTGCCTCTCCAGGTAACAGGAACATCCTAGTTCTTTAGATCAGGCATCTGCAGGTCACCCCAGGGTTTGCAGCTTTCCTCAAATTTAACCAAATATTAAGTCTCAACTATTTTTCCTTTTTCAAGTCCTGTTTTCAGGTTAGAGACCCCTGTCCTAAGGTAGGGACTCACACTAGGACTGCTCTTCCAGACTCCTGCTACACACCTGCTCTACCCCTTATTTATGTAGCTGTGCAGAGGGAAGAAAGATGCCTGAGTATCAACAAAGTGAAGTGCAAAATTATCCAGCTTGCTATGGTGAGCCTACTGCTCAAAACCGGGATTCCTTCCCCAAATATAGCTTCTTTATTTCTACCTTGGCTATTGAAACATTAAAAAAAATTACTGGCCCAGTCTAGGTGGTGCAGTCCATAGCATTCTGGACTGCAATGTTGGAAGCCACGTAGCTGATAACAAGCTTGCATCTCCAGCCTGGTCAGCTCAAAACAAGCCCAACTCACAGGCACCTAAAATCCTGATGAGCTGGAGGACTAGAGGAAAGGGAGCAAAGAGTGATTAGGTGCTTCTCTCTCTCATTTTCTCTCTCTCCCTTTTTTTTTCTCTCTCTCTCTCTTATTTGCATGCACACACTATCACAAATTTAATAGAATTTTTTAAAAATTTTACTTTGAGGGGCCAACAGGTGCCATGAAGGTTAAGGTACTGAACTTATCCCACTTGCCCAACTGTGTGGTTCAAGTCCCAGACCTGGGGCTTGAAAATCATGCAGGGCCATGGGGCTGGCAAGTGGGCACTAGATGCGTCCGGGACCTGGTGGCTCACTTTCTCACTTTCCCTCTCTCTCTGTCCCTCTCTGGTCAAATCAAAAATAATAAATAAATAAAGTTAAACAAAATAATTCTAAAAAAATAAGAAGAAAGAAAGAATATCATGCAGGCGCTGTACGAGTGTGTGGTCAAAAGGCCAAGGAGACTGTGAGTAGAGGGATTGTGGCGTGGCTATCTTCCTGGGACAGTAATCTCTCTCTCTCTCTCTCTCTCTCTTTCTCTCACATGAACCTTATAGTGAAATTTTTAAAAAGTTTTTTTTTAATTTACTTTGAATATAAGCCCATTTACTTAACAGATTTCCTTGGTTGCCTCTCCTCCAATGCTTCTCTGTGTGAGTCATATCCATCTCAGACAAATCTTCAGTTGTATCAACTTCATGAATGAACCTCTTTTGACCAGCACCCAGATATGCATTTATATCATCAAGATATCTTGACCTCACTAGCACTTTTCATATTTTGAATGTTTGGTGAATCATGAGGAAGAAATGGACCCTTAGTGGAGGAATAGCTGTAGAAGTATCCGAACTATTTGAAGCTAGTTAGTTTCATGCTACTGAAAAAAAATTAATCTGTTAGCTTTCCATGTAAGAACCCCATCTCACAAATTTGTACCTATTCCACAGTAAGCTGTTATTTTAAAGTCGCTATCACCACAAATTCACACAAAGAGAAGAGTCTCTTCAGGAAGTCTGTCTGCTAAGAAAAACTATGATTTTTAAGAAGTCTACCAGCAACAGCAAAGAATGTGCGGGCATCAAACTCTTAGTGAAGAGTTAGCATAATTTAGCTGCTTCAGGGTGGTTGTTGCCATATGTTTATCATTCTTCAAAGCGTAAGAGTGTGACTAAGAGGGCTTTTTAATTGAAGCCTAGTTTTTAGCTATGAAATATAACTTGAAACCTGAGAAAGTGGCCATGTCAAGGACTCTAATAAGAGCCCACAGTTACAGCTGAGTAGCTCAATGTTTCACTTAACTCTATGCAAAAAGGGGATTTCACACGCAAATGTAATACTTGCCCTACTGATCTCACAGGTTTATGATAAAAAGCAACTGAAAGAAATGCGTGCAAAAGTACTTTGTACTACAGAAACAAAATGTTTTTGGGGAAAAAAAAACTGGTGGTTCTATGAGTAGCAGTCATTAGCAGGGACTGTCCTTTCCGAGTTGTAATATAGGAAGAGAAATTGGTCATGAGTACTGGGAGTTTCTGGTGTGGTCAGAAACAAAATAGGTAATAAGTAGGATCCTGATAAAATAAGAAGTCAACACAAATATAAGGTCAACATGCTTGTTAACGGAAGTACCCTGTGCAAAACTGTTCATGCGATGTAGGAAAATAAAACTGTTTTCTTAAAAGATTGTTGGCAAAGAAAAACATCCAGATTATTCTTACCTTTTGCTATACTGGTGCTCAGTAGATTCCAAACTGTTAAATTAAGTCTCATACTTCAGTCAGATGAGCACTTGAAAATAATAAAGGATGTGGAATCAAATGCTGTCTTAAGCACACTTTTAAGCAAATCCGTGAAGCATTTTGAGGGACCCCAATAACCTGGTAAAGGGTGGTGAGATCCGACTACTATGCTTTACCTAATGGCTATTTGATCTGATCATGACCAAGGTTTTAAACAAATGGAGAATAAGACACAAAGGTGACAGAATGTGTGGGGTTAGCTGGTCCTTACAAACACCTTTCCAAGAAGGCTGTTAGGAGCATAAGTACTAAGCACTTGCTCTGGCATTTCCAGGCATATTAGAGATTGGATCCTTTTTTAGGTCCTCTGTGTGTACCAGAGAAAATGATTAAAATAAAAGTTACATCTGCTGCTCATGGGCTGCCGGCTGGCTCTATAACTGCCTGCCTGTTGAAGCTGGTTCTTCTTTCATAAACCCAAATTACCACCACCACTATCCTCCCCACCTCAGTCTCTGTTTTACCTCCAGTCTTTGATCAACACAGCTATTTATCCATCTCTCTAATTTCCCAGGTGGTTCAAAAGTCCATGCCCATCCTCAGTGGTTTTCTGGCCCTGCTCATACTAAAGAAAAGAAAAGGAATGTAAAATTAATCATAGGCAGGGACCCTTCCGGGGAAGTACTCTGGTACCCACGTAGAGTCACTGGATCCTTTCTTCGTTCACGCTGCAGTAATGAAGCTTTATCTGGATTAGCTCACTGAATCCTCATGAACGACCTTTGAGTAAGTCCTATGAGCTACAATTTGTAAACGCAGAAACTAAGGCTAATAGAAATTGGCTAGCTTGCCCACGGCACACAGTGGCCAGTAGGGGAGCCAGCATTCAAGCCCAGACCTGAGCCATCAGCATCCCTGTCCTTAATTTCTACACTATACAACTTACTCCAATATTGGACTCTCCTAAGTGAAAACAAGTCTCTCTTTAAAAGCCGTTTTAGATTGCAGTACATTGAGCTCCATAGAGACAGCGCCGGGGCAAGTGAGAGCCGGACGGGCACTGGGCGACTCTGTGCCTCGCGGAGGAAAGATAACTAAACATGGGCAAAGGAGATCCTAAGAAGCCGAGAGGCAAAATGTCATCATATGCATTCTTTGTGCAAACTTGCCAGGAGGAGCACAAGAAGAAGCACCCAGATGCTTCAGTCAACTTCTCAGAGTTTTCTAAGAAGTGCTCAGAGAGGTGGAGGACCATGTCTGCTAAAGAGAAAGGAAAGTTTGAAGATATGGCAAAGGCGGACAAGGCCCGTTATGAAAGAGAAATGAAAACCTATATCCC